TTTTGACACGAGGTGCCCCCGAAGCCCCCACAAAGCGATCAACTCCGCCTACCAGCTCGCAAAGCACTGCCGCACACCCACACACGTCTGCAAAAACAATCCCGGGAGCACATCGCACTCCTGCTGGTGCCAATCCGCGTCAGGGACGGTTGCGTTCATCGAGGGTTCGCACGAGCAAACATCCGCGTCAGGGACGGTTGCAGTTTGACAAGACCAAACATGGTCATCACGAGAAACAAGTCCTCCTCTCCGGCCAATGCGCAGAGCAGGGCCAGAGCCATGATCTGCATGCATTCATCATACCGCTCATAGCGGATTCTACCTCGTTCAAGGCGCGCCATTCCCTCGGTTCGTAGCGTTTACGGGGTGGAGGCTCCGAGGCTCAGCCGTTAGGTTTTCGGTCTTGCGCTGAGTGTTTTTTTAAAATCGAGATTTCGCCGCTGCTGAGCTCCGAAAGGTAACAAGCGGCGAAATAAGTTCGTGTCAAAATATCAACCGTCACTTTTTTTTGACCCGAGCTGCCTTGTGTCAAAATTCTCGGGTCAAAAAAAGGTGGGAACCCTAAACTATCTTTGTCTCTGTAATAGCCAGATATTATTTTCCGCGCGAGTTGTGATGATCTGATGAACCTCAACCTTTTGACCACCCATGGACCACATCGTTTATTGTTTGATTCAGTTCTAAAGGTAAGACAACAACAAGCGCGGAGGGTGCCCGACATGACCACGGTGAAAAGAGAAAAATGCGGTTCGTTTTTATTTGTTGTTTTGCAGTCGTTCTTGAGGTATGTGCTTACTTTGTATTGATTCTACTACTTCTCCATCTAGTATCATCTTCACGGCCAGATTCTGGATGTATTTAGCAGTATAGATGACGTGATGTTTGGCGGTTAGGTATTCTAAACTCTTCACGAGCTCGGCGGGATAAGATAAATATGCAGAGCGCTCATGGTACACGAGGTATCGGGGTAATGAGCCGCGTGGTGCGACTCAATACCTTGCA